CTTTTATACTTATAACAGCCCATATGATTGACTTTCAAAGCTCAAATCAATGCATTCACGCATCCGCATATCACTGGGATTTTCTTTATTTTTTAAATATTAAAAAATAATTTTTGTTTGCCTATCACAATAAAATGTTTCGACACGCGCGCTGTTTAAAATGGGACTCCGTCGGGACGTTAGGGAACAACGTCTTTTTTTTATGGCACAGTAATGTACACTATATTTGTGTGGAAATTGCCAGGTTTCCTAGCATCTACGTGTTTAAAACTGATATCACAATCCATTGCCAGCTAGTGGTAGTGCTCAAGGTATAACATGCTGTACGTATTATATTCTTACACAGCCTACTCATACATGTGCATGTTACACGATGCAAGCAGCACGCACTGCACGCATACACGCAAACGATGTGTGCACATTATGCAGCATGGAACACGTGCGCACACACGCACGCTGGTATGCACACAGGCACATGCACACTGGGACACAGTTATAAAGCTTAGCCTAATATACAGTATTACATACAACTGGCCTCTTCACATCACCTCATCTCCAGCATTATCTGCTGTGGATAGGTTCGTTTCAATCACTGTTGTCCACTGTAGACCACGGATAATGAATGTATTTGTGTGGCTTGTCTGCCTCATAATCTTGACAACCTGCAGCAAGGAAGAAAATTGGAGGCTAGCAGAAATTTAAATTGGGTTTGAGCTAATGAGAAGACACTACAAAACACGACATTTACATGTATACTAATAATGTCTCATTAAAACAACGTGCATTGCGTGGACCAAATGCCCATCATTTAATTTTTCAAAGTTGTATTTCAAATTTTTGATTGCCAAATTAATGTGGGCATGAGATTTTACAAACCAGCGACAAAACAGACATCATGCCAGTATTTCATGATTCTTTAAACAATGAAAGTACGTTTACAGGAGAGCGAATGACTAATGCGCTCTCAACATATTTTTTACATATACACTTTTCTTTTCAGATTATTGGCTGTACTACATTTTCCAGTAGATACTCGTATCTAAGCAGCCTTGTCGTCCAGTTAGTCTGCTGAACATTGCTTATATGGGTCTATGTCCCCAGGCGTACTGCGGAACGTACCCTGGCGTACGGTCCGGTATACTGAACAGACCCTGGTAACTATTTGATATGGTTAGGGTTTAAGGGTTAGGGTTAGGGAGTAGCGTAGGCAACTCCCTAGACTCGTTTTAGTGGAGTAGGCGAGGTACGGTCCGCACATAATTAGATAGTACCAGCGGTACGTTCGGTTACGGCAGTACCCTGGGGGACATACCCTCTCAGCCGTTACTGTTATGTGGGCTCATTATCAACACTAGGCTTTCTAACTTCTGAAAGAAGAAATTCCAAAGCTTAAAACAATGCTTTGGTTACATATGCAGTTTTGATTATTACTGTTAATTTATCGCGGACAATTTAGTGTTGGTCTTCAGATCTTGCCCAGATTCAAAGCGTCTCATGGCATTGGGAGCATAGGAATTTTTCCCCACAAATTCACTTAAACTTCTTATTAAAGGATATAGCCATTGATTATGCAATGTTGCGAATGCTAGAGTTAACTTGCACCTTGTGTAGTTTAATAAGTACATTTACCTTATAGCCAGAACGGGTGGGGTGTGTATTAGTTTGTTCCAAATATCACTGCTGTTTTTTACTAAGAAATGTCCAATTGAAATCCGCATCCAAAATCAGTTGTTTGCAGTTTCAAACCGTGCCGGCGAAGCGGTGTGTGATACAGATTTTAGCGCCACCGGACATTTACATCTGCTGG